AAATTCTAAAGAGTTATGGTTTCATTAAGGGATAATATAAGGCTCATATGACTCGCCTTGAATTTTATAATCAATTTTTTTTAAAGCAATTGTCAAGTTTTATTAAATAGCAGTACCAATAGCTCTCACTAACTGTTAATTTTCACATAAAAAGCTTTACAAGTGATTTCACAGTACTTTCATCTCAGTTCCCATGAGAACAAATGATTCATTATGTTTATCGGCATTCGCTACATCTACAATAAAAATATAAGCCTATATTATACATCAATTTATATATTTCATTTATATAATACTTTCCAAAAAAAAAAGTTTCTAAACGTACTTTTTATCTAAAATCCGTACGGAAATTTAAATAAAACATCTTTCATTATATACTAACAAATTGATAATAGATAAATAATATTTGACTATTAACACCATTACTAAAGTGCCCAACGTTATTTGATCGTAGTTATAAAACTTTCTCCTCAATCCGCTAACGAGGCATCACATTAAGCTTATATAAATAAGTACATAAGCAATATGCTTCTAAAAAGGTCTACAATATACGAATGAGAATTGTTACTTAAAATCCTCTTTTACTGGGTAAACTCTTAAAGTAATTTACATATCATCATCATCATCAGCTCACTGTACGTCCCCACCGAGGGGCTCGGAGCCTACCCTAAGTTAGGGTTAACTAGGCCATAGTCAACCACGTTGGCCAAGTGCGGGTTGGTTGACTTCACACATATCTTTGAATTTCTTCTCAGATATATGCAGGTTCCATCACGATGTTTTCCTTCACCGTAAGAACGTCGGAAAAACGTACATATGTAAACAGGAAATCGAAAAAAACACATTGGTACAATTTACTTATGCTGGCTTTATTTTCCGATTTAAATAAAACAAAATTAAGTTAGAAATATTTGATAAACTATAATAGTAATACATTTTTATGTCATTGAATTTCGTGCAATTAGCATCTAAACTTTTTTAATACAATTTACTGTTAAAATTAATCTACGTCCTTTCTCGGTATCTTCTTCTGTTTATATAAGACGAATACATCAAACAGTCCGATAAAAATAGTCACATTTCTTCTGAAATGTAACTCTTTTCCTCGTCGATTAATTATACTCATTTACATCAATGTTTCGTACACTTCTCTTTTAATTGGATTCATTTCTCTATTTTAATTATTTTACAAATAAAAAATAACGTAAGTTCGAATAAGTTATGCCTTAACCTTAACTAGAGAAAGTACGGAAAGTGTAAGGTAAAAAAGACAAACGGACGCGTGGGTCCTAGTCGATGTCGCCGGAGTTAAGTTTCACCCATTAACGTAACGATTAAACTGTGATTAAACGAATGCCGACATAAGAGCCGCTCGCGTTTCCTGTGATCAGACGATTTGAATGATTGTCCTACTGCCATCTGTCAACTGACGAATGGTGATTTATATATGATACTAGCTGTAGCGAGATTAAAAAGATAGGAACCGATTCTCAGACCTTCTGAATATGCTTATAGAATTATAATACAAAAAAATAGATCTAGCCGTTTGGAAGAAGTATTGTAAGTAACATTGTGACATGAGAAGTTTATATATAAGATTATGTTATAGGGAAGTTTTTTCAAAGTTATACAACACTTTAGGTGCATCATAGGAAAGAGATGTTAATGAGTTAGTGACATTTATAATCTAACAGATCCAGATAACATGACGGATATTTGACAGTATGGAAATTATTATAATTGTGGGTGATAAATGTGGTATTGGGGTGGAGATAGGAGTAAACACTTAGCTTAATACTTAACTATTAGTAACTAAAATAAGTATATAACTACTTATATTTAACAATAATATACTTAAAAGCATCTATTGTTAGACTTTTAATACTTGTAATTTAAAAACTCAATGTAAATTAATGTAACAAGACAGAAATGTTATATTAAAAATATATTAGTATTCCAAACCAATCAAATTATTAACCGCACTATAAATATTACGTTTGTTTATACGTGTGTTTATAATTAACATAACACTAGTCATAATGATACCACTAAGGCTTGGACTCCTTTTACGTATGTAAACAAAACAAACCAAAGGTCGATGCACACGCAAAAGGAGGTTGTGTCGAGAAAGCGCCTCGTACGTCCGTAGTCTACGAACTGTCTTGTGCCAACCCTAGAGCTGGTTTGAACTGGATTGATCCGCTTTATTAGAAACAAAATAAATATGAAAGGGATGACAATATTGTTACAAATGTCACTACAGTGAACTTACGTGAGTACTGTTATAAATACTAAGTTAATATTTATATATAATAATAATATAATGAGGTCAAATTAAATTGACTCAACAGAAGACTGGTAATACTGTAGTACTACGATAAAATACTCGTAAGTATGAACACGGATGTGAAATATTTACGAGTTAATAATATAATTTTATTATGTATTTTATGAGTATTATGCATTTTTATTTATTGGTTTAAAAGACTGACCTAGAGATAAGGTTTTTCATGCGCTTATTTGTTTCTTTTTAACGAGTAATGGTGACGTGCTTTTAGAAATTATAAATAATATATATTAGAAACAATGAAACTTCTTAATTACTTAACAGGACCTAAAACTCATAAAAATTTATATGACAAAGTTTTTTTAATTTCCTTCAATCTTGGAACTTTGATCCTCTTCCGGGTTACTCTGCGATTGTAGTGCAATATTATTATAACATGGTGCTAATCTGATGATGAAGCTGAAAGATGGCTATAGGAACTACGCAATGAAGTAACACCTAATCAAGTTTGGACTCGCTTTAATGTTCTTGACGATTTTTTCTTCTTGAAACATTAATAATTTTAATTACATTATTAAATATTTTTTGTAAGTTTTTTCTCTTTTAATTGTTAAAATGCTACGTAAATTGAAAACTATCTTCATTCAGATATTTATAGTTTTGTTCATCTTTTAACGTTTAAATTAAATTAATTGTTAATTGCGACGCTTTAGTGAATTTGTAGTGCGTTGTGTGCATGCTCCAAAACGTCTAGTAACCATTTTAATTATTGCTGTATTCAATATACTGAAATAACCTATAAAAAAGTACGAGTATGCATTCATAGTAGAAAATTATATTAACCTACCTATTTTTAACTTAAAAATCGTAAGAAACGTAAGTAAAGCAAAGATATTCTAAAGGCGTAATAGTTTGAGGTGTAAATTGCAATTGCAAATTAACTAAAGCGCCAATAGCCTAATGGTTAAGGGTACGGATTTCCGATCACAAGATCGGGGGTTCGGATCCCGCCATTCGACTATTGTCGTAAACCATATCCTAGCCCAAGCTTAGAGCTTAGTTGGAATGGTACAAGAAATATTAGTAAATTTACACAAAATCTGCTAATTTAATATTTTAATTAAAAAAAAAATTAACTTTTAAAGAATATTGAAATAGACTTTTCCTAATTAATTTCTTCGACCTTATTAATCAGGTAGATTGAATTAAAAATTATTCAGGAAAACTAAGTCAAAAGTAACTGTAAAGCGTGAATAAGAGAAACAGCTTTAATATGAATAAATGAAAGTCAACGCTTGGGGACGCCCTAGGCGATTGTATATCGAACAGATCACTGAGGTACTAAAGAGTCATATTAAGAACAAGTATAGTGATATCCAAACTTTATAGCAGCTCGAAACTTCGGTGAATAAATGAAGAAGGAGAACAGACATGTACTTACAGGTAATCGCGAGTTATAATAAATTTTGAATGTTATAATACTTTATGTTAATGTAAATAACCGTATATAGTTTTTAAAGCTCCCATTTTTTTGTGTGTTGTGATGTGTTTCCTATTCCAAATTACCATTTGACATGCATATCTATAATTTTAGTTTAAATATTCTTGACCTATATTATCAAAACATCAAAAAACAGGTCTAGTAGTAACAAGCAATAGTTACTACGAAATAATTTAATTAATCTTGACTAATCGTCGGTTTCAGAGACCAAAATATCTATATAAAACATATTATTGTATTTTTTATGTCATAAGGTGGCAAAGGAGCGAGCTGACTTGAAATTTCCCATAGACTGAAGTTGGCCATAGACATATGCAATTGCATATGCGTTGCCTACCTTTAATCGACGGAGGAGAGGATGCACAGAAAGGAAATATCTTCCCTTTCCATACATTCTCTCATCCGGAATGTCCACTTCCACTTCCCATCGCTTCCTTAAAAGAAAAAGGGTGGGAAGGGAAAGAGGACTAAATTAGGCCTCTAGGACGATTTGTATTAGACAGAATAAAGATAGCAATATGTATTACGAAAATATTGTTCTCAGAAACCTATAGTAAGTCTTGCTATATGATAGAATATAAATCTGTCAGATTGCTTGGGCTAGGTCACAATGGTATAAATATACTCGTACCATTACCTTCGTAACAATCGGTAAAATACTTTAATGGTTAGTTAAAGAACTTTCTACATTTACAGAATAACTGGTATAATATGTTAATAGTGCGAATTAGAATACTCAAAGAGTGTTTACTATGCGACTGTGAACTGACCCAGCGCCCCGACGACTCACTTTGTATGCACTTATCATTTCTAACACACATCTTATTCAAATTATTGTTCTAGTTTTCACGCTGTTTAAACACTTTTACTATTTCAAATGTAATTAAGAGAAATATGGATTTAATTAATCATTTAAGCTTTTAATACTGTAAAAGTAATGTAAGTGATATTTATACGGGATGTAAACTATGTTTATTTGTACATACATAGATATAAAATACACAAGTTCGAATATATTTCTAATTGATAAAAATCTCTAATCGTGGATTTCTGAGACCATAATTTCTGTTTAAAACATATTGTTACCTCTGTTTTTACAATGATTATGATAGGGATGATGAATGGTTTTATGCACCGATTTTGGTCTCAGAAACCAACTATAAGAGTTTATCTGTTAATTAATATTATATGTAATTAATTGTAAATACATACCGTCCAATTTTCCGTATCAATAAGAATCAAAGGTCCAACACAATCACAGTTCTCACTACAAAGGTCCAAGGGTGTCGGATAGGATTGTATATTATCAACTATCGGATAGTAATCGGATACGCACGCACGTGCACGACGCGTTTGTATCGGTGGCGGCGATGCGCGCGCGCCGATCGGACAGTGACAAGTGGATAGCGCAGGTGCCAGCCTCCCTCTAACAAGGTCGTGCCCCCCTCTCCCATACTCGTTTCACCCGGAGAAAGTCTGCCTACATACATACCAAATATCCGAACTGATCGACTCGGCTGAATTAAAGGCCACACATGTGATGAATGAACCGAGAATACGAGGGGTCATCTTTGAAGGCTATTCGGCGCCCGAAGATATTCGGCGTCTTAATAGAGGCCTGCCTAACCAAACTACCTGCAATTAAAATCTTTTCATTTAATGACAAGTTAAGAAGGTAGTAAAAAAATCATACCTAATACTAATAGAGCTGAAAAGAATTTTAGCCAACCTAACGCAACCATAGGAAAAGTCTCATTTCTTCAAACCAAAAAGGATTTAATGTTAACAAACGCATTTTAGATTTAGAAATTTGTCAAAATTATATCCCATATTTTTAATCCAGAGTCAAAATGTAAATATAAAAAAAACATTAAGTTATAACAATAAATCGCTTATTTGTCATCTAATAAACTGTTTAAGTAGAGCGTTAATCACAAAGAATTGAGCTAATAAAAGCTCATTTGAAACTTCAACGTCGTTATCGTTCACGGCTGAGTTGGCGCCTTCCCCTACAATTACAGTGACGTTACAATCAACGCTCAATCAGCGAGCAGCGTAATCCAACGATATCTGTCTTGTTCATTAATGATTGGACAATAAGACGGATTAATGATTGCAATATAGTTAAGGTAATCATTGAACCGATGAATTAAGTTTAACGCGGTTTCACGTCAGGTTTATAATTGAAAGGTGGAAAGGAAATAATGTGTTGTTAGCTAGTCAACAGCTATCTTACTTATTAATGCGAATGTTTGGATGGATGGAAGAATATTTGTTTAAAGGTATCTCCAGAAATGCTGCATATATCTCGCTGATGTTGTCATAGATGTAGAACATAGCCTGGAAGAACACAGGTTACTTATTACGTTTTTTTTTATTATGAACGGAAGGAGAATATCAAATTATTCAAACTTTCATGAGACATTATATTAAAATTATATACAAATATAAACACGGCTAAACACGCTTAGTGAGCGACGGGCCGCGTCCGCGAAATAATACCAGTACCACTCATCCTGATGAAGGGCCCCCGATGGGCTCGAAACTAATCGGTGCCGCCACCGGAATATACGTGAGTGTTTAGCCGTGTTTATATAACAGGAAGGAGACTATGTGTTAAAGTGCAAATATTTTTTTATTTACTATTTATTCTTTTACAATCTTGTCAAACAAATTGTTATTTGTGTAAATTCATTTTGTATTACTATCGATTTTAAATTAAAGAGGTTGATATATAAAGTACTTAAATTCAAGAGCAACAAATATGTCAAGATGGAAAAGGTCACGTAAATACTATGGCAATGAGGAGAAATTGCGGGTAATTATTGTGCCAAATGTCAGCGCTGGAATCTTGCATAAATACAAGCTTTTTATTCTTTATTATTTTGTATAAATTTGCGTATAGTGAGATTGTATTTTTATTGGCATAAAATACAGTAATGTTCGGTCAGATTGAAAGTATGAATGAAAAAGTGTGACATTGCAAGTATAGGACATAATGGAAGCAACATCTAGATAGGTAACATACTAATAAATTCATCATTTACTCGTCCTTATCCTACGTCAAGTTGGCGCATTATTCTAGATCTATCTTCCGTCTTGGCAGTAATCATAGTAAAAATGTAAAATCAATATCTATCATAACTATATAAAAGATACAAGAAAGAGAAAAGAGAGTTGATTGGACTGTGAAAATAATTAGGTAAGAATCTTTAATAACGTAATTTTTCATCAAAGGACTGTTTATTTTTGATGTCACAAATGACAATGTATTATACGTCATCGTTTAAAAACTACAGAGTAACATAAATTGAATCTTATGCAATATGTTTTAAGATTGATTTAAAGAGGAAGTGAAACGTACGCAGGGTATGTGTCGGGTCGCATGTCGGTCAGCAAGGTCGGCAGGAGGATGCGCGCAACTGGGTTGTTGTCGCCTCTGATCGTAAAACGTTGCGTAGCGTGCACTAGTAAACGTACGCTCAATAAAGGTGCAACATTATGCGCCGGTAAATTAATGGAAATTACAAACAGAGAAATCACATTTATTAGCATTTGTAGCAATCAGATCTAAATTAGACGCAGCAACATTTTGTATTACATATTCTATGGACGTCATCATATTATACTAAAAGCGGTATGTTTCAGCAGTCAATTATGGATATTACGTTAACTAAACTATCATAGCAAATAGTTATCATCATATTCAATGGTATGTCAACTTATAATTAGAACAGTTTTACAGACCGTATAATCATCTATAGTTGCTACAAACTGTCGTAACAATACATCAAAATTTTATAGTTACATTTACAAGTGGACTTGTTGCACCATGGCAGGTCGAATTGTTAATACAGTGAGCGAGCATGTCGCGTGCCAATCGGGCCGGATACGACACATACATTTCTAGGAGAGCTCACCATTTATCCTATCTCCTTACGTGTTTTTTTTTTGCTGAATAGAACTAAATAATTTCTGCCACATTCCTCGTTTACGCTTGGGTATTAATGGTTTACCAGTATATCGTATTTTTAACAGTTTAAACGTAGAATTCCACTGCCGTGACACTTTGAGTCTCAATTTTGTTATAGATAATATAATTAATATCAATATGGATGTAAACAAATGTCAAGACAGTGGAATACTACGGTATGGAACAGTTTACAATGATAATTTGATAGAAGATAATATTAAAATCAGTTAAAGAACAAAGCCTACCGAAATGTAATTATAAAAATAAAAAATGCCGATGCACCCAATGAAAATTTATTGACTAAGAATGTTGTCGAACGTTCAACCTAAATATGTCTAATACACGATTTGAACCGCCTACGTTTAGACGTTTAACGAGATGAATATTCTAACATAAATTGAACCTTATGACACTAGATATAGACAACACTTTTTTGTCAAGTTATTACAAACAGTGGCTACTTTCCAATATGTCAATAAGAGCTTTCGCTATCTGTGACCGCGTCGTTTGGTTTGTTGATTTAACTTGTTTGAGCATTCCTTTTTCAGTCCCTGCAGACGCATTAAATTTATGACATGACGCATTCATATTATACAAATAAAAAGGTCAAAAATAGTAATCAAACGATCGTTCTATAATTATAAGGTATTTTTGTATAAAATTTTGTATTTAAAATCACTTAAAAACAAAACAATTATATGTAGTTTACTTAGCGACGTCTTCAGGTACTCCGCCGAGGAACATCGGCCTGTCCAGACGTAAATACTCCTTAATACGTGTTATGAATTTCATGTATAATAGTTTGCACGTCTATGATCATGTTTACACTAATTTACATTTTGCCTTGGAATGACAAATATCAATGACCCATCACTGTAGTGTAGTAGTACGGAATCCACGAAATATTGATCACTAGCTGTCGCCCGCTAATCTGTCCGCGCAGAATTAAAAAAAAATCTTAATTAGTAGTCTACGTGTTCTTCAAGACTATGTTCTACATCTATGCCAAAATTCAACGAGTTTTTTGAAGAAATTCTGAAGATACCTTGTAACAAAATCATGCATCCATCCATACATCAAAACATTTGCATTTATAATATTAGTAAGATTGTCAACTCAAACATGAATTAAATTCGATAGATTCGAAATTATAAGTCATGGTGCATTATGTTTATTGCATATTGATTTTATTTAAGTTTTGTTAATAATATTGCGGTGCTTTCTTTTACTTGTTCTCCGGCAAGATAATTCTCTCTCCGACTCATTCAGTTTCGTCAGTTTAATAGCTTTGCTAGTTTATTAGTTTTAAATCAACTGCTAACGATGATTTACAGTTAAAATTAATATTATTTAATTAATATGCTAAATATTCCTAAAACACATAATTTTACGTTCCTTGATTCTTTAACGGATTTAATTGGCCTTTAGGGTGTCCATAGAAATTTCGAAATTAAATGGGATTTTAATAAGAAATGCCTTAAAGCATTATTTTTTTAAGAAGAACTTGAAGAAAGAAATACATATTAGAAAGAGAAAAATGATCTTTTTATGAACATTTTCTCTGTCAATTGAAATCGATTAGCAATCATTTGACATTTGACAATTCAGATTGCAAATGTCTATAGGCATCAATCTCTTCGCACTTTTTAGGAATGATGATAAACATGGCCGATCTATTATGATATGGAAGCGCGATGAGGGTTTTAACAGTAGTAGAGCCCGCTTTAACATCTTCGCACGTATTGGCCCGGCTCGCCCGGTGAAGTACCACGACCACACAGAAGACAGGCGTGAAGTGGAAGAATTTCCGCGTTTCGTCTGATGAGTGTGCGTCCCGGAGGCCTAATTTAGTTTCCGTTCCCCCCCTATTTCTTATAAGGAAAGAATGGGCAGTGGAAGTGGACTTTCCAAATGAGAGGATGTATGGGAAGGGAAAATATTTTCTTTCTGTGCATCCTCTCCTCTGTCGATTAAAGGTAAGCAACGCATATGCAATTGCGTATGTCTATGGGCAACGGTCACTTCGCTATTTCAGCGATTTCAGGTGGCCGCTCGTTTGCCACATTATGATATAAGAAAAAAAGGGAAGAGCAATAGACTATTGTACTTGGAATTATCTCCGCGTGCACGAAGTATTGGTCACCGTAGTCACACACCCAGCCGGCCGAAGCGCGTTCAACATACTGACACACATTTTTCTCCATCAACGCGATTTTATTTATTTATCTTTATTCAAGCATTCGTACCGCGTCGATGTAAAGATTAGCATTCTGGATTGTGACGGATTAGGCCTCAACGGATGTAGGCCAGATGTTTGGAGGCTCACCGGAAATCGAAATTCAGTCTTTAGAGAAATGAAAAACAAAAATACATACGACATAAATTAAAAATTGCACTTGATGAAACAAATTT